TTTTTCAAAACCATTGGTATTGATACCAACATTTAAAATAAGATATGTATAATAACTATAAGTAAACATGTAAATAACTTTAAAATATATATTATATATATGTATACATACAACCGTTATTGCAACACTGTAATTTAGCTAGGTAAGCAAATAACATAACCAATTAATGTTAATGTAAATATAATTATAGTTTTAAAATTGTAATTTAAAAAAAATACATTGATACAAAATCATAAATTTTTTAAACAAATCTATTTTAGTATTTTCTAAGCGTTAATATATAAAATACTGTGACTTCACAAATCCTAAAAATAAATCAAAAACACCTAATATCAATTAATATAATATTGAATAGGAATAGGTTATTAAAATTAATAATTGTACTATAACCCAATAATTAATGGTAAAACCACACGTATTATACAGTAGGTAGTCGTTAAACTACGTTGTTCAAAATACTCCCATTTCACTAATTTCCAAACTGTAAATTGTTATCAATTACACATTAACTATTAATTTATCATTTGGTAATTTTTTGTGATATGAAATTTTTTTTTTTAAATTGATTTTGCATATGAGCTTGAAAAAATATTGTATAGAATGAGATGAGCCCCTTAGCCCTACCTGGGTTATACCAATTTTGTCACACCACATAATTAGGGCTTGAGCCGGCCTATGCCGTAGTTTGCAGTAGTGTCATAACGACAAAACTGGCGATAAACGAAAATATGTTAAATTTACACGTCATTATAGTAGAGGCGGGCAGGCGGCTTATTAGTTATCGAAATATAGTCCCTTACAATTTTTAAACATATTATTGGATAGTAAACAAAATCGAACAGTGGTTTAGATGTGGAACGAGGGTATAGGTTACTGCAGACACTCGTAGACTGAAAATAAATCGCAGTTTAACCGGAAGCTGATTGCGGATGGGTTAACTGACATAATATTATTTTGTAATTTACACCCCTCAATATAAGCGAAAATGTTGTGTAATCGCCTAGAGGGGGGGAGGGAGCTGAGCTAATAATGATAATTACACCTATATAGGCTATAGATATTAGATATTATTAGCCGCTCACTTCGCTCGTAATTATTAACTACAAGACTGCAACTTACAACGTTTTACAAATTACAAGATAAACAATTTAACCATAAAACAATATAAAAATATAATTAAATGTTCCTATACTCTTGAACATTTAACATATTTTATAAACAGAAATTATTAAGTAATTCAATGAACTGGATTATAATTAATTAAATATCTTCTAAAATATATTATTTGATAACATTAATTAGGTAGTTAGAAAATACATTTTTATTACATATTTTCATAGACCCAGGAGGTCGCGACGCGGATGACTGCTGATAAAAAACCACTGAAGAAATTAAAGATATTACAATATTAAACTTATGACTGTTCAAAATTATTGAATATACATTTAAAATATTATGGCATTTATTAGATATTTACGCACTTCATAATAATTGTAATGGGGGGCCAAGACCCGGTGTCAGTTTTTCCAAATTTTCCTCAATTCTATAAAATATGAAAATTTTATATATTAGTTGACACACCTTAATATACCTAATACTTTTCCACTAATATCCTGCCCGAGGCCTATTCAGGAGGGAGGTTGTTACGTTACGGTGTATTATAGGGCGCATGTACCAGTTGCCCCTCAAAAGTATACCTTTTTTTATACTAATTACCCTCAAACTACCTAGAGCAAAATGTACCAGTTGCCCTCAACCAAATGTACCAGTTGCCCCCAGCAGAAAGTACCAGTTGCCCTCATACATAAATTTATATACGATTAAAATATGTAGCCCGTAAAATACGGGAGGTAAATATACAAATAATAATTATAAATAGTAATTATTATAACAAAACATAGTACATAATATTATATCTAATTTATTTACTATTTTTTTGTTGAAAAATTATAACATTGAATGTCACATAATTATAATATTTATTATTTTATTGACTATTGTATTCATATTATTTTGTTAGCAATTATTATTTATCACAAAATACAATATTAGGTATATATTTCAAGCATATCCATTTTTTTCTATCATTTTCTATTTTTTTAAACTATTTTAAATAATTTTATTCATTATTTGTATATTTACCTCCCCTATTTTAAGGGCTATATATTGTAATCGTGTGTATAGTATGTGACTGAAACCTAACCAAAAGAACCGGTTCTGGAACCGGAACCTTTAAAATATAAAGAACTGGAACCGGAACCGAAACCTTTATATAAATAAATAAAGTAGGTACCGGAACGAAACCAGAATTTTTAAATTAAATAGGTTCTTTTAGACTCAAAAATAAAATTTTATTGAATAAATATATTTATTTATATTTTATTTATTGAATGGTATTAGTGTTTTTTGTATAAACTATGTATGATCATGTTATGAGTTTCCTAATATTTCTCATACTATTAATTAAACCCGCATTCCGGATAAGTTTTTAAAATTATTGTACTTTTTGGTACCTAAATTATCTGGAACTGGTACCGAATTTATTTGGAACCGATACCTTTATTTCGGTGCAGTTTCCGAATTGCGGACAAACTGACAAAAACCATGTAAGTTGCGGACGAAATCTAAAAAGGTAAAATATGAATAATTGCGGACACAAATATAAGATACTAATTGAAGAAAAATTTCCTATTATTATTTTTGATATGGCGATCGTGGACGTTGGGAAATTACTGTTTGATATTAACGATTAAGATTGTGCCGGTGCTTTTGAAACCGCTGCCTATATGTTTAATCAATTTATCGACAACCATACTCGCTTGCTGTTCGTTTGATGTTATTTTCTGTATAAAAATGTATAGTGAAAAACTTAAAGAGTTACATATGTGATTGACGGGTTTAAGTTTCGTTTTCATCGCATAATGAAAAATGAAATTCAACGGCGAGCGTGTACAAATAAAAGGTGTAATGCATTTTTAAAATTTAATCACAATTATATATATATCAATCGATCGATTCCTTAAATGAAGTACAGACTAGTAGCTATATGAAAATTAATTGTTCTGCTGTAGTATATTTAAAACGAGCAAAAAAAACTATTGAAAAGAAGCCATTTATTAGCAAACAAATGTTGCAATATTCACGTGGTAAAATCAGTAGAATATCATATATACAGGCTGTTTCAAAAAAATTTTTACCACTAAATTACGATAATCTATAAATATTTTATAAACGATTTTTTCTACAAAATTAAAACAATAAATAATTCAACAAAATTTTAAAAATAACCATTGTTCTTGCAAGACACAAATATTTTTAACCCCACCTACCATTTTTTTTTGGTAGCTTGTCCTAAGTCCTGAAAAAGTGGTGAAGGGAAATATTTGGGTCCACAAATAACGTGGTTTTTATTAAAAAAAGCTCTGTACGCAATTAGTATTATGACAACGAAACTCGTGTCCGCATAATTGTTATGTTATAATTCCTGACCTGAATAATTCGTCAGCAACTAGTATGTGTCCCTTTATTTAGCTCCATGTATTTAGCCCCCCCCCCCACTTTGGAATTTCGAAACGATTGAGTCGAAATTATTTTTTTAACGTTCGACAATCATGCACTTATAATAAAAATTATTTTCTGGTTTGATTTTCCAAAATGCATTGAATGTATTTAAAGTACCACCTGTATCACAATTATAAATTTAGTGTTAGGATGTAAGTCGATTTATTGGGTCGCAAATATTTATTTTATTTCCTAAAATTGCACAAACTTTAAAAACAAAATAATAATATTTTAATCCACAAGTGCGTATGGGTTTTTCTGGCTAACCAAATATTTTGCAGCGACTGAAGACCATAGAGGTAAAAATGATTATGTGGACAGTTTTTATCATATTCGCAAGACAAAGGGGAGTTGCTCGGATTACATTTTAAACCCCAACTTTCAAAGTTTGATACATTTGGAAGGGGCTGAGCTCAAACGTTAGGATTAAAAGCACAAACGAATGGAGTTGATTTTGTTCCGAATTTCAAAGTGGGGGGGAGTTAAGCATGTCCCCAGCCCCCCCCATACTTTGAAAGTTGAATAACTTTGGAAGGAGTTGAGCAAAAATGACGGGATTAGAAGCACAAACGAATGGAGTTAATTTTGTTTCGAAATTCCAAAGTGGGGGGGGCCGATGACATGGAGATCCTTTATGTTTTTTTTTTATCAAAAAACCAGAATCGAACCGCAACAATTATTTTATTTTGGGACAACCAGTACCGGAAACGATAACGATAAATTCAATAGGTTTCCGTCCCTGATACATAAGTATATATGTATATACATTATACAATATACCACTATTACCACGGTATAATATTATTGTGAACACGCCGAGTCCCGTGAGGAATGTGAAAAAAAAAATGAACCTTGGTATTAGTATTATTTCAATTAGTATTGTATATTGTCGTGATTCGTTTTCGACTTTGTTTCGTTTCTCGGGAGAAAAATACAATAACAAAGCGCTGAAGGGTTGCAGGAACGGAAAACGAAAGAAAGGCATAATATGCCCTCTGGGTCGACCGAGCCGGTTTTTGGCGGCATTGGCCGCGCGGTGCGATAATGTGCACCGCGGGCGGGCGCGGGCCACCGTTTCGTACCATCTCGATACCAATTCGATTCCCAGCTTGTGGTATTTCCTGCCGACAAACGTGTACCGCACGCGACTCGTCCTTTATTATAGCAATAAAATATTACAACAGCGGCACGTTACACGGGTGTTGTTATGATAATAATAATAATAATAATTAATAACGATAATATTGTCGTGTTTGGTGCGTCCGGTCGGAGAAAATCCGGCGCGCCGACGGAAGACGTGCGAGACCGCCGCCTAGCTCTGCTGCCCGGTAGCATCTCGCTGGAGGCGGAAGGCATACCGGCCGAGCACATACGAAGAGGGCACGGCGGCGGACCATCTGCACGACGCGTCGCGACGACGACGACGATGTCCACCGCCGATGTCGTCTACCGTAGCGTCTCTCGACGACCGCGTGTACGGCGGCGGCGGCGGTGGCGGTCGCTGCGATGCGGTCGAGGTCACATTTTTGTCTTTGGCCGTCGACGCCGCGTCGGCGGCCGGTTTCGTGCCATCCTCCCCACCGCCGCCACTGACGACGCGGCGTGTACCGTACCACACGTTGCCGCCGCCGACGGCAGCGCTCTCTCCGACGGTACGGAGAAAAATATAAAAAATAATAATAATAAATGTTTGTCCGCGTTATCACGTGTCCGCCGCGCCGCACCGACGGCTACCACGACCGCGACTACGACCGCCGCCGACCAGGACCACTCCACTGGTGCTCAGTACGCAAACGGCCGCCGCCTCAGACTGTCGTGTTCGTCGCGCCGACACCGCTCATTTGCGTACACTCGTAATAATAATAATAATAATAATTGAAAAACCTCGCGATTCCGGAGTTTTTCGCTCGTCACCACATACCGTATACCGCATCGACGCAGACGAATTTTTCGACCATGCGGCCGAACTCCCGCCGTTGACCGCGGCGCGACCGAACTTTACCGCCCCCCACGACCTCCCCCTCGACGTTACCGCCGGTTTTCGAAAAAATAATAAATCGGTAATAGCGTATTATTACGATTCGATTTCGATTCGTTGTTTTTTTTTTTTGATTTTAAATTCGTGCACAAAAATAATAATAACATGACCGCCACCAACGGGTTCATCATCGGCGACGGTTCTTGGAACCTGCAGATCTACGTGTCCGATCTGCAGGTGGAACGGACGCTGAGGGTTAAGGGTGATCTGCACATCGGAGGGGTCATGCTCAGACTCGTCGAGGATTTGGGTAAGTCGTCTTGGGAATCTTATCTATACGACTCGATAATATAATACCACTGTACACGAAACCTCACATCACAAAAACTCTCACTTTACGCGAACCCGGTTACTGTACCCATGTAGGTATACCATATTTGGTAGTAGGTAGGTACAAGTAGTTGGTATCGCATTATTTTTTTTTTCCAATAACAATAAGTATCGTTTTCAATGGTTCATAAACGTTTACCGTTAACCCACGATAAACATGAATTTAAATAAGTTTACATTGTTTATCACGTTAGTGTCGCTGTTACCAATAACCCGAAAACATCTCGTCGTTAATATTAGATATTTAATACTCATAAAAAAAAATAATATGCCATTGGAATTAGGTCGTCGTCGATGTCTATAAGGAAAGATCCGTTTCAAGACCAAATAGGCACACTTTGAAGTCTATAATATTATATTTTTGGATTCTTCAGCAAAATTAAAAATACCTAATTAGATTAGCTTATCTTTTAAATAACCAAAGCTTTGCGTTTATTGCGCAATGACTTTGATGATACATTTAGAATCGTTAGTATTTTAATAAACAAAAAAAAAAACGGTTCTGTTTTGTTTATTTGGTTTAAAAAAAGAGTTGAAGGAGACATGTGGAGCGAAATACGAATATATATATATATATACCTGTTGGCTGTAATGTTAAATTTGGTATTTATCATTTGTCTCGATCTCCCATTTCTCTTCGCAACTATATACTTGGCCAATATCATAGGTACTAATGATTTTAGTATTTACTCTTAAAAATATATAAATTTGTAAATCATTATATAATAACGGGGTTTCATTATTATTTGAATTTAAAAGTAACACAATAAAGTTACAACGTAAATTAGGCACATAAATATCAGGTTGACTCGAGTCAAGTCCAAATTCGAAGCTGGTGAAATACCTAAGTATCGATATTATTATAACATTTCACGAGAATATTTTCCTCTAATTTTCAATCATTGATAGTTATGCCCTATAGACTATATAATCTATATATAGGTCGATTTATACAGAATAAGTAAATACCTACCTACTGAATACAATGTGTGCTGAACACAATCCAAATTGTGTTTTTAAATTTACTTTATTGTAATTTATAATTTAGTCAATAATATTATGTTGAATATTTCTTTTTTCAAATAAATATTGTTTATAATAATAATCCCAAAATAAATATAAAATGTCTACAATAGACGGACCTCGTAAAAATGTTTTAGTGCATTGCATGTTTCTATGTTTGAGATTTATGTACATTTTATTGTAAATCAACCAATCGCTATACAGCTTATAACTTTTACGAAACAGCTTCGTAGAAACAAGAAGAAACAATGCATTTGTTCTTATTAATTACCATTTACCAATAATGTTTTAAATATTAATATCTGTCATTAAACACGGTTTAGTATAACAATACGTGTATACCTACGACCTACCAATATCAATAACTATTAGTAAAGTTATTACTTATTAGTTATTACTTACTAGTTATTACCTATTAGCTATTACATAATTTATATTATTATTGTTCAACTCTGAAGTTTTTCGTTATGTGTATTATCACTAATTATCTGATAAAATATGAGCATATACTTAGAAATCGTACACGAACATGCATGTATAGATTTTTCTACGAACATCGATAATAATAAAACCATAACAATATTATTATAGTTTCCAACATTCATGATTTTAGTATGAATTATAAAAGTTATTATAATTTATAAGTCATAAGTTTAAAGTTGTACCCATGAATGTGTGGCAGATTTGAATTTGAAGACAGTTTTATTAGGTCGCTTTAACAACAGTGTACAATATTACAATAATATGTAATTTTTTTTATTATTCACTGCATAATACCCTTTCAATTTTTATTTATTTGTATAAGTATTTTTTTTCCCTTGCTTACATATTATTTGTATGTTTATGTTTGGTTTCCGTTGTTCCTACTCTTGAATTATTATTATTATTACTATTGTGGCACTCGATTAGTAACCGATTGTCATCTACCATAACTGGAATCGAATTTGTTATGCTGGTCTAGTCGTTAATTTGCTTTTTTGGAATTATGTTTGAATCAACATAAATTCGACTTAATGTACTGTGCATTTAAAAAAAACAAATTCGAATACAATAGACTCATAAACTCGTAGCATACACATGTATATAATTTAGCTTATAAAGTCTTAAAATGTTTTGACGGCGCATGTTTAAAAAAAAAATAAAAAAACAATAAATAATTATATGAACATTACCTGTGAGTTGTACTTATAATAATATTGTACTTTATATGCCAGCAGTAGTTTATTATTGTCTACTACTATTGAAGTGATGTTTGTTTTTGTATTTATGGTTAGTTAATTTTAATTTGTTATTATTGAATAATATTATACATTATAATTTTTCTACAAACCAAAATGTTAATTTTAAAAATTAATTAAAATTGTCAACTACCTATTTCATTATTGACTTAAGTAATTTTGGCGTTTCTATAACTTGGCAACTTGGACAAGCCTCAACTCGATTAATTTTTTTTTTATCTTCATTTAACACATCACAAATTAGAGACGACAGGCACGTACAATAAGTACCTATACCTATACCTAAATAGAGGTTAGACCTGTGCTTGGCACGAAAGAATGGATTACAAGTTACAACAAAACATTACAAGCACTTGTTTGTATTAATGCCTTATCTAGACTGTCCAAACAATGGTATATATTATATTTTCTGACTATATGCGTATGTGCGCTCAAAGTCGAGTTGTTTATTCATTTTATGACAGAATGTTTAAAAAAAAAAAAAAAAAAACAATACAGAAAGAATGCGGAGGGAAAATACGTAGAATTATGTTAACGGCGAGATTGATTGTAGACTGAAAAAAAACATGCAAAAATTTAAATCTGCATGGTCAGCTCTCGCCTTGTTATTATTATTATTTTTTTTTACATACCAAAAGCCTGCGTGTACCGATACGTGTTTATTTTCATTATGATAAATTTACGACTTCTTGGCCACTGCGAGCACGCACCTACCCAAACGAGAATATATGTACTGTTATATAGCTCCCCCGCGGTAATAACCGTAGTATTATATTGTTAACAAGATATTTTCTTCGTTGTTCGTTCGTTTTATGATCCATTGCCGTCAGTGTCAACTCTTGACGAAGACAACACGATTTTCTCACAATAATTACACTGTTTTTCCAATCTTGCATCATCTCGTGCTCTACAGTAAAATAATTAAAGTAAACACGGTACTATAATATATAGCCAGATGAGGAATTTGTTGTTTGTTTCTCGTATGGGAAATGAACTAACCAAACATCATAAAAATAAAAACAAATTTATATTACTATAGTTGCTATATTATACTTTAGTCACTATACCGTTAACCGCGTTTGGATTGCTTAGAGCACATATTTGGTCGATTGCCGTAAAAATGTGTCGACCACTCGACCCCCTAAAACAGAAATAGCATCCACGCATATTAAAGTTTTTCTTAGTCAAGAATTAGACATGCGTTTATAATATATATACCATTTTACAACGACACCTACGACCTATACGCCAACGTGGGTTTTTTTAAAGCTCTGTTTTATCTTGACTCTTTGGAAATTTAGTTTTTATATTTTAACTTATAATTTTATATATGAGTATATTATCACACTAAGACCAATCAATATATACTATATTTTGGTTTTGTAGTATTTCCGTAGTTTTAGTTTATTCGTGGAACGGATAAAACTCACAAAGTGCTGTATACTCATAGAATATTCATAATATTGTATGAATACAATATGTCACGTAATACTTGATAATTTGTATTCATCTTTAATAGTCTTTAAATTTTATTATTTTTTTTTATGTTTAATTAATTATTCAGGTTAATATAAATCGTGTGAACATAATACCTAATAATAGGTACTACTAAATTATTACGAGAACATAGTTTTATGATAAGTTTTTTTTAGCCTATTTTAGCTTATTACTTATAAAACATTTGACTTATTATATTTGACTAAACTTTACTTTTACAGATTTATAATAATTTATGGTGTGTAGGTGTCTACATGTATTATTATATAGTTCTTCTAATATTTAATACAATGATTGTTTATTTGATATTGTTTATTCGTATTTATATATGTTTAATCTACATTATTATTATAGTCTATAGGTCCATTTTGATAAAATAATGACGTTTCGAAACCCATAGTATATGATCAACGCAGTGCACTGTGTATAAATTATGTGACTACTTATATCGTCTTCCCTTTCTTTCCCTCATTTTTAAGCACCTTTAACGATATATCAAACGTATAAGGTCCAACCACAACAGATGTTTCTTATTGTAGAATGTATATCCATTTCTTATTGAATGGGATACTAATTATTTTTTTTTTCATTAATAGCTATATAGGTACACCTAATTGGTATACGTTTGTATAATACAGCGTATACAACTATATTATGTAGGCACAAAGACTATAATAATTGGTAAATATTTATTTATGGATAAAAGTGATAAAACTGTAGGTATAGGTTTTTCTAATTACGTATTAAATTGTTATAGACCTACATTTTGAAGAGAATATCAAAAAGTAATAATCACCCAAAATAGTTTATTATATTATAATTAATGCAGTGATACTTTCATTACGATTGAAATATCATAATATATAAAAATAACTGTATTGTATTTGTATTATATAGCGATGAACAAAGACGTCGTTTGTTTTATAAATTTTTATGAAACTCTGAGATGTTATGACTATTTTGTAGAATACATTTATTGTGTCGGGAATTGAAAACGCAATAATTTCATCCGATATTACAGTTTCAACCAAAGATTTAATTTTCTTTTATATATCTACTACGCTAAAAACGAAGTTATCGCAGGACCATCTCATGTCACGTGTCAGGAGTCTGTGGGAAGTTATATTTGAACAAGGATTGATTTTAAGTGGCGCCCCGCGCC